TTTTGGGTTTTGCCTTAGGGAGCAAGCTAACGTAAAGCTATAAATAGGAGGAGTAACCCCTATTCTTGTATGAACTTGAACTCACAGAGTTTTTCAGTTGTAAAGTGAATAAGATTTTTCCATAATTCGTGGGCAGAGAGTTACTCTGCAGTGTCGCATCGCTGCAAAAAGGGGGCCGACAAAGACAGAAGAGTCGCCACCGTTTGCTATTTATCCCAAAGAGAGGGAAAAGAAATGATCAAAGAAAACCTGACGAAAAGGGGAAAGACAAGGTCATCGCAACCAAATCTTGAGTTCAGGAGTTGGTTACGCAAGGGGAAGGTATGAGCACCCCTCATGTCCGTTGTACTCAACGGGATCCACGCTTGTTGTCTAATCTATGGGTGAAACTATCTAAGAAGTTGTTGCTAAACAGGGGTGAAAGAAAAGAACTGACTTGATAGGACATCGTCGCCCTATACCTACGTATTCCCTCGTGCAATGAGAAAGTCAGAGTCAACGTAGTTCGGAAAACTATGGGGGGAGGTTGCTCGCTAAGACATCGCCTTCTTATGCCTACGTATCCTCATCTGGTATGAGAAATCAGAGAAAAATGTAGTTTAGGCTAACTATAGGAAAAGATCTCGATCGCACTGGGGCGAGAGAAAAGGTTCAGAATAACAGGCTGGTCTCGATTGCATGGGGGAAAGCGAAAAGGGAAGTTAGTTGTTAGTGTGCTCGTCAAGGATAGGAATCCTCGTGCCTACGTATCCTCATTAGGGAATGAAGAATCAGAGCAGCCGTAGTTCGGCTTAACTACGGGAAACGGGTCTCGATCGCACGGGTGCAAGAGAAAAGGGGTCTCAATCGCAAGGATGCGAGAGAAAAGGTTCTCAATCGCACGGAGGCGAGAGAAAAGGTCCTAGGCCTAGAACGCCTAAACGGAAAAAGAATCGGACCGGTTCAGGACGCACAACGCTAAATCCTAAGACGTAGGAGCGAATGCGTCGCATATTTCCCAAAGGGCATACGCTAAACACTCTAGACGAGAAAGGAGAGGCTCCCTACTCATCATTTCCTACGTATCTAACGCTTATCTCACAACATTCATCACAGTTAATTAAAAGATTGAAGTAAGGAAAGTTTACCGAACGGAGTGGTTTCGTTGACCCTTGAAATTGTATGCAAGCTTCATTTCCAAGCTTCTAATCTCCTATTTGATCCTTGGTGATGATGTTTTGAAATTAAATCGGGACCAATGTGACGCTAAACCGTCGTAGCTCGACTTATGAATGGAAGTCGAACTATAGGAGGTTGCGTAATTGATATCCGTGCTAAGGACAAGATAGAGAAATGATATTGACGATCATTCTCCGATTTAATCGTGTCGCACAAACCAAAAATAATGGATCTTTTCTTAATCGCAAACATAACGTCGATTAATCGAAGGTAGCCTATCGTGATCCCAAAGTAAAGAAAATGACCCAAATGGTCATTTTCCATAGATTTGAAATCGGGAAGGTTATCAACTTCGATAATCTGACGTTTACAAATACAAGACTTCATTGATCGAGAAAAGTCAAAATAAAATCGAAAAGAAGAAGAAATGAGGAGAGAAAGGAAGTGGTCTCGGATCCATCGTTTCTCATCAATAATTTGACAGAAAAACAATAGAGGTCTCATCATTGACCAAAAAGCGGTGAAAATAACAAAAGATGGATAAACGGTCAAAAATGAAAACGAGAAAGAAAGTCGGTCTCGGGCTTGTCGTTTCCATCAAAAATTTGATGTATAACAACTGCGAGGTCTCGTCATCGATCCAAAAAATGAGGAAATAAATCCTCAAAGGTAAATGAAAATAAAAATATCTAACTTCAATAGAAATATAAATATGAAAACTCTAAAGAAACTAAAATATAAAATATTAACATTTTTAGAAAACTAATTGAAAATACATATTATAAATATAAAACTATTATAATAACAAACTCTTAATTAGAAAAATAAATATTTAAAAGAACTTAACAAGCTAATTTATTATGTTACATACTAAAATATAAAAACAATATATTACATTGAAGTATAAACAGGGGAGGGGTGGAAGATTAATCAGGCGGGGTGAGTTTTGGACAACAAAACCAACAGGCTGACAAAGCCCAATGCCCAACAACAACAACAACATAATCCAACAAAATAAAAAAAGGTTTTTATTTTATTTTTTAAAAGAAATAAAATCAGTCCCAAATGCTGAACATGGGCACCACCGTGTCAAAACTCATCTCTGTTCTTTTATTCTCTGTTGTGGACCTGGGTTGTGGGTTTGTTGAAGAGTATGGTGAGAGGGTTTTGTGAGGTTGTTAGATATCGGAAATGAGTGGTTTGCGGATTAGGATTTCTGGGTTAAAGGTATCGTTTTATGTTGAAGATTGAGTGAGGTGTTGATGTTGGCTGTTGAAGAAGAGATGAGATGGATGGGTTTTAATGAAGGTCTGAAAATGGGGTTGGTTGTTGGAAGAGATTAGGGATTTGGTGTTGAATATGTTGAAGTGTTGGTGTTTCGTTGAGTTTGAAGGAGTTTGAGAATGGTGAAGAACAGAAATGGGTTATGGTGAGGGCGGTGAATGTTTCTGTTTGATGATGGAGTTTGTGGTTTTGACGGAAGATTCGAGGAAATAGTGGGAGGTTCGGCGAAGAAGGTGATGAAATGGTAGTTTGGGTTTTAGTTTTCTGGGTTTGAAGTTTTGGAGAGAATCGCGAATGGGTTTATGGTAGTGAAAATGGCGGCGGAAAAATGGGTTTCTGGGTTGTAGGGTGTTGTTGGCCGGAAAGTGGGTTTTCAGGTGAATGAGAGGTTTGACGTTGGTTTTAATGGGTTGTTCGAAGGTTTTGTGAGGGAAGAAGATGGGATGTTGGTGGAGTTTAGAAATGGTGGTTCGAATTGAAAGTGAAGATGAAAGAGGTTTTGCCGGATGGTTTTTTTTTTCTGAAGAAGATGAATGATGAAGGTGGTGAGGAAAGGGAGGCGGTAGCTGTGTTGATGATGATGAAGATGAATAGTGTAAATGAAGGTTGAGGAACAGTAGGCTGCGATTAGGGTTCCCAAGAAGGAAGAAAATGAACAATAATTATATAGTCTGGAATTCCAACATGTGGCATGACTGATTGTGCTGAATTGCTTGTTAAACCTGATTAATAGACTACTAATGATAATTGCTGATGATTAATTAAAAAAATTGATTCTAATAAAAGTTGTACTAAATAACAACTAAATAATATTCTAATAACTAATCTAGACTAATCTAATATAATAAATCTAATTAAATCTAACAACTAAAACTAACTTAAACCGATAACCTAATTAACCTAAATGATGATTAATCTACTCTAAAATCTAATTAACAAATCTATTTCTAAAAACTGGTTATAATCCTATTAATAACTAACATTCTATTCCTATTAAAATTTAAATTCTAAACCAAATAAAAACTATTTAAACTATATTTTATTAATTAATTCTTAGAAAATCTATTCTAAAATAAAAATCTATTTCTAAAAATCTAATATAATTCTAACAAAAACTATTTTTTTAATTTAAAAATAAGCTATTTAAAAAAATTCTAACAATAATAATCTAATTCTAAAATTCTAATAAAATTAAAATCTATTTTTAAACTAAATAGTTATTTTTAAGTCTATTCTAAAACTATTAAAAATAAATCAAAAATAGCAATAAAATCACAAAATGCCATGTAAAAAAAAACGGAAAAACGGGCGAACACCGGAATGCGCCAAGATTATCAGCACAGACTGAATCACCAGAAAGAGAGCAACTTCGCTCGATTTCGACGTGGAGCTTATCATTTGAATTGATTTGAATTGTCTAAAATACGAGCAAAGCGGCTGAAATCCCGATAAATTCAATCCGGCTGATAATAAGGGCAAGATGCGACCTAAATGATATGCACATGAAAAGCGAAACAAAAGTCAGTCAAAGTTAGAATAAATGTGGACAAATTTTAGGGTGCAACATGCAGAAATCATCATCTTTTTCCATATTTTGTCAAACCCTAACTTTCTTTCTTATTAAATTTTCTTTTCTTAATTTTCTTTCTTTCTTCTTTCATTAACAATTGCTGCGTAGAATCATTCTTGCAATCAAGATTGGTTCAAAATTACTCAAAATTTTAACTTAATTCCAACAAAGATCTCATATTATAGAAGTATGTGGTCGTAGTTAAATACAAGTTGAGTTTCTTCATGGCATATGAGATTGTGGATGTGCCAAATGAACAAAACACAAAGACATATATCCAATAAAACACAAGAATGACATGTGTCAACTATTCTTTTATTCAAGAAACACTTAAGAGACCTAATCTCTTCAGAATTATCGTTATGGGCGTTGTGACAACTGGAATGACAAACCGACAATCAATAGAAGATTAAAAAGTATCCAATAGTCCAGATGAAGTATCAACTCCACCATTCCACTAAAGTGTACTCGAGTTCATCCGTGTGTATCGCCTCCCTACCCTCTACACGTCGGCGCATATGGATTTCTCCTCCAAAACAATGTTTTGTCAGCACGATGAGCAGTAAATTGATATTCCAAAGTTACTTAATAGGAAAATGGTTTCTCTTACATGTTTGGTGAAGATAAGGACATTATGAAAGTCACCAAAGATGCAAAATTCGATTAAGGATATTCTTTTAATACGAACCGTAGTCTTATATATATGCCTTGTGATATAATTAGTCAAACTGCATTAACAAATATCCTCTCTATTATTTGCCATTTACATTTCTATTTTCTCTTTTTTACTCGTTGCTCTAGTACTATCTAATTGTTACAAATTGTATGAAAAACCATCTCCAGGAGTATCAGATTTTGAGGTTTATTTTATGTTTATGCAGAAGTAACATGAGGGCAATACCCCAAAAATTAAAATAAATAGATGAAAAATACACATTACAAATACAACTATACTAAGGATAAGTGGAACACAAATTCACTTTCTGAACTAATTCATCTTTGAAACCATTGTGCTAAAGATGTCAGCTTCATATTTGTTGTACTCCCTTTGCTTCAGTTTGAGCTCTTTGTACTCAAGTTTAATGTCTCTGTTAACATGCCATGCAACAAAAAATTATCCACAATTGAACATAGAAAATAAACTAAGTAGGACCGATACATCATGCTAAAGATTTGTCTGATGTCTAACACGTATCAGTGTCAGTAGTATCTAACAGGTATAGTTACACTACTTTCATTTTCTTAAATTTTACAAATACTATGTTAATGATTCATAGAAAAAAACTTTTGTTGATGAAAACTTGTTAGCTATTGAATGTGAAATTAGTTGTACCTATTATTTGGATCAATAATCAGTGCTCTTTTAATGTCAGCTTCAGCTTTCTCCAAGTCTGATGTTTTAAGATATGCTTGGCTTCTTCTGTAAAGAGCTTTAACATTCAAGGGATCTTGTTCTAGTACCTGTATCAAGACAGGATCAACTTAAGATTACAACTTTTTGCCAATCATTGCCAAGCTAACGTCTCTTTCTTAGGACCGTCTTTCAGGTCGTGCAAAGTAGGTTACTACAAACTTCAAAATTTGTCACGGTTAAAATATTGTTAAATAGGACCTCATAAAATATTTGTCACAGTTAAGCTGTAGTTAATAGAGCCTCTATTTGTTTTGTCATGATTAAAATGCGGTTAATTTAATGAAAGAATTAAATGCATTTGGATCAAAGAATACCTTTGTGCATAGCTTGGCAGCTTCTATGTACTCTTCCAACTTAAGTTTACATGCAGCATTGTTCAAATTACATGACAATCTCAATGTGTTAGCGTGACGCTTCTCGTCGTCGCTGAATGTGTGATCAAATTCAATGTATTTTACAGCCTACAATATCAAATCAATTAAGCATTTCATTCTGTTATAGACCTGATTTAATTGGATTCAGATAAATTTTCACATGATTTATCCGTGTGCATTATATGCTATACTGTATCTAAGATTTTAAATTGCGATCGTAGTAGCAGACCTTTTCGTATTTCTCGGATGCGCGCCTAAAATTTTGAGCCTTAAACAGAAGATTTCCATCATGCTTCTTCTGCTCACAAGCTTCTAGTTTCTCTTGAGTATCCATTTTCCAAAATGGTTTCTCCTATAACAAGTTGCGAAAACCGATTAAACTTAAAAATAAAATAAAAAAATTTGAATTGATGGAACTCATACTATTAATACACTTAGAAGAAACTAACCTTAATGAAATCAATTAATTCAACTTCATAATAAAGGGTTTTTTCAACATTGACAGTAACCAAAGCTTGTTCTTCTTTTGTCATTGTCATAATTGCTTTTTCAAGACCCTCATGCATTTGTTCTGAAAGTAATTAGAACAAAGTAGCACAAAGATTAATAATAATTAGAAAAAAATATACATGATCGTTTTTATTGTATAATATCAATACTATACCTTCTTGAATTATGAACTCAAAAGGTTCTTCCTTTGATCCTTTCCTATCAATAATTGTACCATCTTCTCCTTTGCAGATATATGTAACTGTTGAAAATGAAAAATTCTAAGTATGAAACTATACTATGATTATGATTATTTTCATTTGAGATTATGTTACCTTTCACATGAGATCCTTCGTTAGGACGATCAAACCCCTCGCCGAGTTTATTAATTTTTTTTAGTATTTTCTTATCTCCTGTGATATCAGTAACGATTTTCCATGATACCAGCTCGAGTTTGATGCTAATTACATTAGAATCTGGTAAACCATTAAGCTCGATTATTCTATTTGAATTTTGAGTCTGGCCATCTGCGAAATAATGGCAAGATATATATTAGTCGTATTATTAAATTAGTTTCGATAATCAAGATTATACCGAAACAACGCGTGATTTCTGATAAACTTACAGAAGAATTTCATACTAAGCTCTGCTACCTCGCCTTTTCTCATTGTTTTTACTGCTATGCTCATGGCTGGACATAGATATCCTAATTGAATCAACGATGGAGAGATCATTGACTGTAATGACTACTAACCGCATCAAATCTATTTCCAAAAGCAAGAGCTTTATTCGCGTAAACTTACCGTCGCTTACATGAAAATCCACGCCTTTATCAGACTTGATAAGCATCCCATTCTCAAGTTTTGCTTCATATTTCACTGTTAAATTAGTAGTATAAGTACAAAATCAAACTTATCAAGCATCTCAAAAACTACTTTTAAAATAACACATATTTGTAACGTATAGTCAGTTCAGTTGTTAGCTGTGCAGGGACATCAATCAAATGCAGATGAAACCGTTAAGTTACCTAGGACTTCATCAAGCTCTTTTGGAGTAGCCCATCCTTCTCCTTCCCTTATCGTCTTTTTCATGATTCCTCCATCGTCCGTCATGTCTCTGATGGTACTCCAACACAACATTTCAATCTCAAAAACGAGAGTTGCATTCGGAGGAACCAATGGTGGAGAACCGACTTCCCCGTACGCTAAGGCAGGTGGTATTTTGAAGATTGCTCTCTCCCCTTTTTTCATAGTAGCAACACCTTCATCCCATCCTTTGATTACTTCACCTGCAACAAAATTCAATAACATTGGCTTAGTTCAACTTTTTCTAGCAGTATGCGCGCGATAAACGAGAGGTGGTTTACCTTGGCCTAATTTGAAATGAAAAGAAGAACCTTTATCATAACTAGACTCAAGAGATGGTCCATTTTCTATTTGTCCTCGAAAATGAACTGAAAAGTGAAAAAAAAATGCTGATTTAGAATTGACCATTTTTGTGTAATGGCAAAAACATTATGAATGGAGAAAAAGGGAAGCATATGAGATGGTTTGTAACCTTGAACTTCATCTCCTGAGAATGGAGTTTGCCAAGAGACACCTTTTGTGAGAATCTGTTTGGTGAGACCTTCATTTCCAATCTGTTTGAGTAGAAATTCTGAGTGTTCATTTTGGTGAGAGAGTGTCATTTTGGAATGAAAAGAGGTTGAAGTTTGTAAGAAAGGATAAGCCGTTATTGGTTTCCCTCCTTTTGAGCCTTTCAGTTGAGATGAAATGAAACATATTTCTTTACCACACACACAACACAAGGTTTTTTTTAAAAAAAAAGCGGGACCACTAAAGCGACTACCATAAAATGATATTGACAAATACTAATACTTTTATGATCATTTTTATCCTAGTTCAACATTTTTATGTTAATAAAAAATTTACCAATATAGCCTATATTCAACATGCAGACGCCATATGATACTGCTGAAGCAATGGAGAATAATCACATTTGTCATATCATATGGCGCTACTATTGTAGTCTTGTCCTAAAAAAACATATTTTCAGAAAAGACGCCATATGATATGGTGCTTCAGTTTTTTTTTATATTAATTATTATTTTGTATTAGAAAATTAGGAAATAAAATTTTAAAAATTAAAATAATTAAAAGAAAAATTATATTATAATATTTGTAATAAAAAAAAAGTACAATAGATGAAAAAAAATTCAATGACTAGCCCTATCAAAACGTCCATCGGTTCCACATGACAGTGGATTTGCGCAGCGTCGAGGTCTACCACAATTTTGTTGAGGTGTTTGTGGCCTTTGCGTGTTGACATGTGAAAGAGGTATTTGTTGAGATGGTCCCGGTGTATTAGATAAATTTTGAATCATCTATCTCCAATAGTCGGGAGACTGCTGCCAATGGCGCTTCCGTAATTCAGTTCCATGCCCATGTTTTCGTAGTTGGGACGAAGTGGTTGGGTTGGGTGTGGAAGGTATGGTTGGTCGAATTGGTACATTGAATCGTTTTGGAAACGATGCAATGGTTGTTTTGGGGTTTGATAGTAAAAAACTGGGTAGGTATTTTAATGGTAGGACGATTGTGTGTTCATTCGTGGGGGAATATAGTGGGCTGGAGTGGGGTCGAAAGAGTGGTCGGGGCTATAGTGGAATGGGGTAGGGTCGAAAGAGTTATCAGGGCTATAGGAAAAAGTGGTGTCAGTGTCGGGAGGCTGGCAGTAGGGGTAAATCTCTTGTTGTTGTGATTGAGATGGTGACATGAATGGGTTGCCGCTCTGGAAGATTGATTGGGTGGGTATACTTGGTTGTTGGGTATAATACGGTGTTTGATGTTGGGCATTTGTTTGTTGCTGTGTGTTTGAGGAAGAAGCATGTTGTCGCGGGTCAATCAAATATGTTTGCTCAGACACAAATTATTGTGTTGTTGTAACCGACCTAAACCAAATCATATATTGATAACTTGGTCTAACCCCTTCCACAACAGGGTCGATTAAGATGTGCCGATGTCGATTCTTTCAATGTAGACACATCTCTTTTGCAAAGTCTTTCTAATAATTTACACTCCATTGTGTATCCACCCTAAGTTGATGTCAGTCTCCCAAAGACGTCGGAGCGACTGAAATATCCTGATGCATGCCGAGCTGCAGTTTCACCCTATCACTTTGGTGCATTTTCACTATAGTGAACCGAATGATAGGTGTTTTAGTTGTCCGCACTGCAACATCATTGGTGTTGGGCTGATGGTCGAGACCCTCGTACGACATCCAGACAAACTACATGAACAATAGATTTAATGAGAAAAACAAGGATGTAGTAGTTAAATAGACAAATTAATGGTACATCATTGGTAGATAAACTACATCGTCCGACCAAATGTGTTCTAAAAGGTTGCGGTAGACGGTTATTGAGTTCTTGGGACATTGTTGGTAATTCATTCCCGGAAAAGACCACCTTAAAAAAAGTGACACAAATAAATTAGTTACAAAGAAAATTTTCACCAAAGTATACACGTCTTGATTTTTAAAAATAAACTTACTTGTTTGCGTATGGAAATATGAATGGATTCTGGTCGATAGGAGTCAGTGTTGTCATTCTAGACCAACTCCACGCTTGAAGGAGATAGGCGCAGCCATAAAAAGCAAGAATTTTTTTTTAATTTTTACACAGTGAACTATATAGATGGGCGAGGACAACTAAACCCCAATTATATGTGCACACTTTATTAATGTTGTGTAATAATGGTAAATACATAATATTTACACTATCTCTAGTACTTTTTGGAAATAAAAAATGTCCAAATAATATCATAATATAGCACCGAGTTTTAAGTATCTTCTCATACTTGGTGGATTCCTCTTTTAACACGATACTATTGTAATGTTCTCTTAGGTATTTTAAATTAATACCTTGGCCCCTCGGTCGAACTTCACGTTGTGATTGAGGTGTTTCGACATAGAGAAGGGAGCCCATCAAATCTTTGTAAAGTTGGTTATTAACACCAACTTTGTCGTTGAAGGTCTTACCATTGATGCGTAGGCCAAGTAACATGTATACATCTTATAGTGTGACAATGCATTCACCGAAAGGAAGGTGAAATGTGTGGGTCTCTGGTCTCCAACGTTCTAGCAAGGCTATAATAAATTTGGAGTCCAGTTGTCGTAACCCGAAATTTGACCTCTTCTTTTTGCCTTTGCATAAACATGTGCATTTACATCACTGATATACACGTTCACTTTTTCTCTATGATCTTTGTTGCAGGAACTTTCAGGTTCTTCGAACCCGATTAATCACATCATCTCAAAGATGTCACATCATCAAAGCAAGCACAAAATAAATGTTGTTATACCTATTCATCAGAGAAAGAGGTCGAAAATCAGAGCCATGACCACAACATCATTTTTCAGGCAAAATTGGGAAAGTTTTAGCCTAGTTAATCGATTAACCATTTGCTAGTGCAAATAGGTTAATCGATTAACCCTTGCAAAATTTGCAGAATCTGCTGCATTTTCAGGACAACAACTTCCACTTCTCATTTTTTGGGGTCTACATTGTTCTAGCATTGTGTGGAATATTCTAGACAGCTCTAGACATTTCAAGACATTTCTAAACACTGCAAGGCATTTGCTCCAATACATTAATTTGGATTAACCACCATGTTGCTTCATTTTCAAGCATGTGACCCTTAGATTCAAGTTTGCATTGGGATGGTTACCGAGTCAACTACCTAACTAACTGAGTTAACCTCCAACTCAGTGAGTTGATGCTAACTAACTCCAAGGATAGTTCCAATGCTACATCCAAAGCTCACTCCGAACCTAGCAACTCCGAACCAAAACTCTATATAAGCAAATCATCACGATTTCACAAGGGATCAATCATTTTCATCCTCAATCATTCTCCCTAATTTTCACACTTGATCACTCTCAATTCTCTCACATTCTCTCTGAATTTTCTGCAACTTCTACTCATAATCGTTTTCACTTTCATCCAAAACCTCACTAGAGCTCAAAACCTCCATTAAAGAGTAGCAACTTCTTCATTGGAAGTGCTTTCTCTTGAGCTTAGTCATCATCATCTTGCTAATTCTTCTTGCTTTCTTGGATTTTATTGCATTTGGATCCATCTCAAGTGATTACTTCAAGCATATTCAGTGTAATTTCAATTTTGGAGTTTTCGTCGGATTTTGCTCGGTTTCGCTACTGTTCGATTGCAAATTCTGTTTTCTCTGGATTTCTTTAGGTAGCTTCATCACAATCTATTTGCAACAACATCCAAGGCAAATCTCAACCTTGTAGGTTGGTTAATTCTCACTCTTTTCACTATTTTGATCCTTACTGTATCCTTTGCTATGTAGTTTCGACGTTTTTCTCGTTTGTGAATTGATTATGCCATGATTTGATCTTCATTCTTGATGTGATAATTGACTCCAGAAGTGATAATATGCTGTTTTTGGACTTGATTTTCGTGCATGACTGTTTTCCCTAACATGTGAAGGATTGCACAAATCAAAATTGGACAAAAGTGCTTTTGAAAACTCAATTTTTAGGCTTTGTTCCAGTGTTAATCGATTAACACTTTTGCACTAGCAAAGTGTTAGTCGATTAACCATGTATTTTTCAGCAAAATTTTTCTGTTTTAAAAGGGTTAATCGATTAACATTGGTCCAGAAGGCCATTTTTGTGCATTTTCATGTATGTTTGGCATTTCTTCCTCTTTCAACTCCCATGAATTGATATGTTTGATTTTTATGGATGTTTTAACTTCTATTTGAATCATGTTTGTGCATTTTCCAATGCCCGATTTTATCGGTTTCGCATTTTCGACATTGTATTATCATGTTCATTTTTGCCTAATCTTTGATCCTTTTAGTACTTGGTCTGTGATGCATGCTAATTGACATTGGTACTGTTTTACATTTCCATTCATGCTTGCCTTAAGATTTATTCTTTTTGGGAATAATCTTAATCTTGATTAATCAACAATTTCCCTGTTTGCTTTAACGATTTTTCATTCCTTTGACAAAATTGCTAGCACATCTTTGCCTTTTGATTAATTAATTGAAACTTCGTTTCAATTAGTTAATCTTTCCATTTTCTCCTCCTTTGGATCTTCTTGAGCTTTGTCCTCTCTTTTCCCCCGCGGAGTTGAAAATTCGCAATGCATTTGAGCATTGTACAAATTTTGCGTTGTTGTGTTGTCTGTTTCGTTTCTTGTACCGCACTTTGGTGTTAGAGAAGGAATGAGAGTGCATAATTCCTACACTCATTCTGACTATTTTGGGTAGGGGACGAATGATCCTGTGCCTGGAATAGTCGTCTCTATCTCCTTACTGTGGTTTGCCCGTTCCTCCAGTCGAGTAAATCCTTGATCACTTGTACCCTTACCTCCTCTTTGAAAATAGTCTTCTCCTTTTTTTCCTTTTATCTTATGGCCAATCCATCCTTGGTTTCCCTTGAGACTTGTTATTAAATTCCCTTGTTTGGTTGTTCAGTCGTACTTCGGTTAAAACCTATTTCTCTTCTTCCCAGCGAAGTTGAACTTTTCTTTACGGTTTAACACAGCCTTTCTGTTAAAACCTAATCCCCTCCAAAGTTTGCAACTTTGTCTTGGTTCTCTTTCCTTCCTTTTTGGTTAACCATTGTCCGTCAGTTAAACAATGGTCTCCTTTTCCTCAA